TCCATCTCATGAACGGCCCATTGAGATGAACACATGAATGTTCCCTTTTAAGGTTGTTAGGAAAGGGTATTTTTCATTGAGTGATTCAATAAACATTTATGAGGCAGCTCGGCTGTGCCAGGTGGTATGTTAGGTATGAGCCAGGTGGAAATTCCCCTCAAAGAGACCTCAAAATACCAAAAGAAGGATGACTAAATAAAAATATTCAACATAAAGTTGTCCTGGGATCCAGACATTCCCAAGAGACATGATGGCCATACAAACACCTATACACAAAAGTTCACGGTAGCATAATTCAGAGTGTGCAAATGGGAGAAACCATACATTGAACCGACAGTGACAAGGGAAGTGTGGTACTCACTATGATTCAGTATTGGTCACCAATGAGAAGGAACAGAGCTCTAATTCATGTCACACTGTGAGTAGATCTGGAAAACATTATGCCAAATGAAAAATGTCAGGCACAGGAGGTATAATTCTTTGGGCGGAAATGTCTAGACTTGGCAAATCCCTAGTCACAGAGCATATGTGAAAAGTCCAAGGCCTTGAGGTTGAGGAAGATGGGAATTGGGTGCTGATGATACAGGGTTTCCTTTTAAAAAAAAAAAAAAAAGTGAAGTAGATTGTGGTGAGGGGTGCCCCATTTTGTGAATAGGCCGAAAACTGCTGAGTTGTACACTTTTAAGTGGGTGAAATATGGCCCACAAATTCCATCTCAAAAAGCTTGTCACTGTGTGGGTTTCAGAGACATCTGAGTGGCTAAGAACACTTGATGCTCAACCCTGAGCCCTGAAGTTAAGATCCCAGCACGAACACTGGGCAGCTCACAAATCTGAGTAACCTACAGGTGTGGTGGCACACACAAGACAGGGTTTCTCTTTGTAGCCTTGGCTGTCCTGGAACTCACTCTGTAGAACAGGTTGGCCTCAAACTCACAGAGATCTGCCTGCTTCTGCCTCCTGAGTGCAGGGATTAAAGGTGTGAGGCACTGCTGCCTGGCTAGCAGCTCACATCTTTAATTCCAGCACTCAGTTCAAACAAACAAACAAACAAACAATTAAAGTAAGCAAGTAAGCAAGCAAGCAAGCAAGCAAACACAAAGACCCTAAATTCCTGTAACTCCAGCTCTAAGGAGTCTGATGCCCTGCTTTGGACCACCTCAGACACCACATATACCTCTACATACACTCACACAGAAGCAAGCACATACAAATAGAATCAAGTCCTCGTGTGTGGGAGTCATAGAGCAGGGTGCTGCATGAGGGTCTCAAGAGCAAGTGATGCCTCAGAAGGTGAAGCCTGTAGCTGCAGTGCCCCGGTTTCCACACCCATTTGAGAAGAGAGGAAGGAGTTAGAAATGAGCTCATGGATGGATATGGTGTCTTTCATCTTCTCAGGCAAGAGTGTTGTCCTGGATGGACTCAATAAACATTTATGAAGGAGCTCATTTGAATTTGGTATTATATTAGAGATGAACGTGATATATGTCTTCCTTCAAAGAGACCTCATAGCTCTGAAAGAGATACATGGAGCCCTGTCAGGATGGAAGGCATTGCCATGGGCCCAGAACCAAGCATCCTTGAGAACTTGCAGGTGTCCTAGTGGTTCTAGATCATAGGTGTCTGTGGAGAATCTAGGGACAGAAGTTAGACTTTCACCCGCAGAGCATCAGGAGAGGCCAGCAGGCCAGGGCTGCACTACTCAGGCTCAGTCCCAGCTTTGCATCTGTGGCTTGAGCAAGTCACTTCACTTCCAGATCCGGAACACTTCTCATTTCCAGTCACTAGAGTTGTGACCCTTTCTTGAGGGGACATGGCTTTTTATACTACAGGGTGAAGGGTCATGAGGTGGCCAGCTCTACTGTGCACACAGTCTGGTGGGCAGCCCTGGGGTTGAGCAAGTGAGGACTGAAGAGTTATGACAGTGGGTGCCAATGGTTTAAGATAGAAAGTTCTGAGGGAACTGGGAGATCATCGGAAGCAGCTAGGGACTGTTTCTTGGACCAGGTCAGCATAGTTGGCACAAATGTAAGCTTGGAAACGTGAGACGCACACTCCATTCTCATTAGAGGGCTCTGTTGCTCCCTTCAGTGACTTCTGATCCCTGGCCATCTTCTCCCAGACTGGCTGTGAGAGAACACCATGGAGCTTACTCTCTAAGCCTTTCAGCAGAGACAGCAGGTTTATGAAACCTCAGAGTGGGAAGAAGTGACATTGGAGGAAGTTGGCAAAGTTTACCCAAAGCTGACTGCTCAGTGACTAGTACAGGGGCTTGGGAAAGAAGGTCAGTGCTCAGTGAATGTCCATGGTTGGATGGAATGGTCTTTAAATGAGCACGGGCAGACTGAGGAGGCTGTCAAGGCTGCCACAGTGTTTCCCATATCCACTGTGTCACCCAGGATCCTGTCAAAATGGCTCTTCACTCCACAAGAAAACCTACAGAATCAACTAACTTGGGCCCATAGGGACTCACAGAGACTGAAGCAACAACCAAAGAGCATGCGTGGACTAGACCTAAGCCCCCTACACATATGTATCCGATGTGCAGCTTGGCCTTCATGTGGGGTAACAACAGGAGCAGAGGCTGTCTCTCTGTTGCCTGCCTTTGGGACCCTTTCCCCTACTGGGCTGCCTTGTCTAGCCTAAATGGGAGAAGATGTACCTTAGTCTTACTGCAACTTGATATGCCACAGTGGGTTGATGTCCATGGGAGGCATACCCTTCTCTGAGGAGAAAGGGAGGGGAGAGGGGAGAAGGAGGGGACAGAAAAGAACTGGGAGGAGAGGATGGAGGGGAAGCTCCAATCGGGATGTAACATAAATAAATTAATTAAAAAAAGTCTCTGCTCTAAGGCTCTTTCTCAGACAACCTGTCTAATCTGAGATGACTCTTGATGTGTTCTTATGCAGGTGACTATTCCCGGGTCAGTTCTAAGCAGCCAGCACCTCTAGTTAAAAGCAGGCCAGTGAGTCTAAGAAGAGCCCAGAGAGAGCCAGTGTTGGCTGTGCCTTCCTCCACTGGAAAACATCTGTCCATCTAGTCTGTTCTTACATTTTTTGCCAGCGGCATTTAATTCCCAGTTAAATATGGAAGATATTAATATAAAGTCTTACGAGGGGGGGCTTCAGGTGGGTGTGCTTCCAGAGCTAATGCTTATAGCTAGCATTGCTACTTTATGGGTTCGTCTTTCTTCCACCTTTCACCCCTTTCCACCTTTTCAACCCCTAACACCAGATAGGAGAGAAAAAGGAATAGAGAAGTGAGAGGAAAGGAAGGAGAACCCTGAATCTAATTGCTTTTTTCTTCTTTGAGCAGGACTACTAAGAAACCACAAAGCCGGGCGGTGGTGGCGCATGCCTTTAATCCCGGCACTTGGGAGGCAGAGACAGGCAGATTTCTGAGTTCAAGGCCAGCCTGGTCTACAGAGTGAGTTCCAGGACAGTCAGGGCTACACAGAGAAACCCTATCTCAAAAAAAAAAAAAAAAAAAGAAAAAAAAAAGAAAGAAAGAAAGAAAGAAAGAAAGAAAGAAAGAAGGAAAGAGAGAAACCACAAGCAACCCTGAATGACCAATAACAACCCACCTGCCTCTCAAGGCCCTAGTATTTATACACCCTCTGAAAATTTCCCAGGATTCTAAATGTTACACAACTGCAGAAACTATCTGCAGCTGGCAAACCCATGTCTCTGCTGGAGCACGAGGCAAATCATAATCAACTGCTGCTGTCAGACGGAAGCAGCCCCTGGGGCTAAAAGGAAAACACATTCCCAAAATATTTCTGTGTTTCTTATGGAAACGAGAATTCTAAAATTGTCACTACTAATGTGGTCACTACTGGAAAAACATCAGTTGTCCAAAGGGTAATTCCTCAGTTTGTAGCAAAGAATCACAGCTTGTATGGATGACTGTCCCAGAAACACATTGAAATGTTAAAGGAACTGTGTCCTGATGCTCCACACAGCTCAGAAGGCTGGAAGGGCTGGATGTAAGTGGTTATTAGGAAGTATTTATTTATTTAAGTTTGTTTGTATGTTTGTTTGTGTGTGTGTGTGTTTGTATGTGTGTGTGTTCTCTTTGAGGTGAGAAGAGGGTGTTTTCCTCCAGTCTTCTGCAAGAGCATTTAAATGCTGAGCCATCTCCCCAGCCTGGTTATAAAGAAGTAGAACTATTTTGCTATTGTTGTCTTCCTCCATCTCTGCAAACCTAGAGTTTCATGTTTTAAAACTGTTTATAGTGAATTCATTAATATTAATACACTTCATTAATTAATGCATATTAATGCAGTCCTGGAGGTTGAGCCGAGGGCCTCACACATACCAGGCATTCTATCACTGAGCTAAATCCTTAGGCCAAGGGTTCCATGTTTTACTTTATAGTAATTATCCCTGCGAACAATGTATCAAGTGAGGAAATCCTGTAGGCGTCATCAGAATGGCTCCTGTGTCTCAGTGAGCATCACCAGACAGACATCTTGTATTCAGATATCATGAGTCATCCTTGTCTGACATTTGGATGCAAATGATCTCTGTATAATTCCTTCTTCCTCTGGCCACATATGTTCCAGCCATGGTTACTGGCATCCTATACCATCTTGAGGACAGGCAAAGAACTCATGCAAACATGCCATTTGCCTCTCCCACCTTTACTCAGGCTTAGTATTCTTCATAGCATCTCCTTGGCCATGAATATTGGCAAGGACAGTTCAGAACTGCCCCTGCCAGGGCCCCCACCAACTACAAGCTCCACTTCTGTGGAGGTTTTTCCAGGTGCCAAAAACATCTCCAGTGCTCTGGCCTGGAGCAGCCAATGGAAACCACAGCCAGGACCCCTCCCATTCTCCCTCAGTGACATCCCAGCTTCCTGCCTCCTGTTTCTCTCTCTTGCCTGTCTGCCTGACTCAGAAGTGAGGACTTACTGGGCAGCAGCTTCAGCAGGACTGGGGGCTTCCAAGATACCTCACCTTATTATCTGCCCTGTGGTTTCTGGGGGTGCACTGTAAAGATGTCTTGGAGACAGGTCATTCTCCTGTCATCTCTCTCGGCTCTGGTGCTCCTGTGTAGTGAGTATGGGAGGGTCAAAGGGTGGGCCTTTTAGCTACACAGTAAGACTATACATACTATGTATGAATAGGTAAATTTGTTCAAGTGGCATGGGTAGGAAGGGTGTGTTTAGTAAGGTAACTATTCTTGGTGTGTGTGCAAAAGATAATGTAACAAAGAGAAAAATGGCAAAGAAAAAAAAATAGGAAATAACCCAGCTCATATGGTGGGTTCCCATCAAGATGGCTATGTGGCTGGTATGCCAAGGGGCAGAGGCCCCAAGCCATTGCACCCAGAACTATTGAAGCCCCACAGGGGCCTCTGATGCTGTGGCCTTTCCTTGTACCCTACCCTACAGTGTTACAGGAGGGGACCAGTGCTTCTGTGGGCAACAGACAGGCAGCTGGAGAGGAAGTGCAAGAAGGTGAGTCTAGGGGCTGTCGCTACATGTGGGAGAGGTGGATCCTGCTCCCCACCCCATGCCGGATGTGAAGAGCTCTCCTCTGGTTTCAGGCATGAAACAGAAGATTTTCATGCAAGAATCTGATGCCTCAAATTTCCTCAAGAGGCGTGGCAAGCGGTCTCCTAAGTCCCGAGATGAAGCCAATGGTAAGGATGCTGGATGGTCTCCCTCCCGCAGTGGAAGACCAAGCCCTGGGATATTAGAGTTCTAAGAGCAATAGTACCACATCTGGGGCCAGTGAGATGGCTCAAAGGGTGAAGGTGAGTGGAATTCAATCCTTGGACCGCACATGGTAGAAGACAACTGGCCCCAACAAGTTGCTCTCTGACCTCCACGTGCACACAGTGGTTTGAATACGTCCCTAGCAAATGAAATAAATAAAAATATAGAAATGATACCATATTTCACTGGTTGCGGGCCACAGGTTGAACTGAATGTGGCATCAGAGTAAAGAACAATATAAAATAAGCCACATCAAGAGCACCAGGATGCACTCAGATTCAGAAAGTGAAAAAAAACTTAGAACGTCTACGAGGTGTGAAAGGAATGGGATACTTCAGTGTGAATTAAAGGGTAGTGGCCTGATGCACCCAGAGCAACAATGTGTCACTCAAGGGACAAGCACAAGGGACCCAAGTGCTGAGAAGAGGAGGTTTCATGACAGTTCCACTGCTGAGTGGCCTTGGCCTTTGATTCCAATTTCCTTATGTGTAAACCTGGGGGGAAAGCTGGTGACAATGTGTCAAGGAAGGGAGTTGGTATCTGCATGTGTTTTGTTTGTTTTGTTTTTCTTCAGTTTATTTTCTGTGAATTTCGGGCTCTCCAATACTCTGAATACCCCGGTTGCTGACCCCTGAAATTGATTCCCCCCAAGCCTCTGCGCTCAGGCCATCCTGGCTGAGTGTGTGGTTTGATTCTTTCCTTGTGCGTGTGCATGAATGAACTCTTTGTATCCCTTACCACACTCAGCAAGGTGACTTGTTGCTGAGTAAAAACAGCCGGATTATTTTCAAATGATGAAAAAGAACAGATGGAAATGCATGAAACGTGGAAACGTCTAACCCACCATAGTAGGAAAATTGCCAGACTGCACACAGGTTGAAATTTGAAGTGGGCTAATGTTAAGCAACGCTGAAAGTCTGGTGTGTCCTTGACTGCAATCGGAGAAGCAACTTCTGGCAGACTCCAGGGGAGGCAATTATCTTCTGTCCTGTAAAACTGACTCAGAATAATGAGATACGTGATTAAATCTGAGGTCTTTTACCTTAGATAGAAGCTCAGCAGGTAGTAGAGAAGGCCCAGAGTATCCAAGTGAATAACCAGGACTTCACATATGTACATCAGCAGTCACTAGGCCATGTTCTGTGGCCAGGTAGGGAAGCATGACCTTGGAATTAAATTGAACTTAGAACTGCTTTAAGAGTAAGAATTGGTTGGGTGTATATTTGTGTGGTGTATATGTGCGCGCACACACACATGTGTGCATGTGAGTGTGCATGCGTGTGTATGCGCATGCCCGTGTGTGTGTGTTCATGCGCGCGCGCGTTTGTGTGTGTGTGTGTGTGTGTGTGTAGAGAAAATTTGTAGAAGCTGATTCTCTCCTCCCTCTTGTGGATTCTGGGGTTCAGTGCAGATTGGCTTGGTGACAATACCTTATTGCTGAGCCATCTTCTAGACCTCCCCCTTGTTTCTCCTTTCTCGCTCCCCATTTCCCCCAGTGCTAGGTTTGGATTTCAAGGCCTTGTGCATGCTAGGCAAGCCCAACACTGTACTGTGGCTTACCTTAGCTTTTCTGGGTCCCATTCTCCTTTGCGTACCAGTATTGTAGGGCAACAGGCACTCTAGTGTAGTGATGTAGGGAGGGATCCTTGCCTTGACAACGTGAGGCGATCTGAAGGACCCACTCTGTGACCCACAGGCCTTCACTGTGTTTTCTAGTTGAAGGACACATGTCCTAAGAACCTTCAAGGAGTTTCAAATGTCATCTTCCAGAACACCATGGCTCTCCATCATGGAAGTAAAAACTTATTTGACTATCATTGCTATTTTACAGTGTTGGAAATTGAACCTAAGGTCTTGCACATTCTAGGCAGTGCTCTACCATAGAGTCACAGCCCTGAGCCTGCTGACACTTGATTTCACACCCTTCTTAACGGCAAGACAGGGTTGTCTCCCCTCTTAAGAAGTCAATGCGATTTTCATCTGCCTTTAATTTTTTTTACAATAGTAATACATCTATTTTGTATGTGTCCATGGATGTTGTATGCAGCAGGTGATGACATTCATGCATCTATTTTGTATGTGTCCATGGATGTTGTATGCAGCAGGTGATGACATTCATGCATCTATTTTGTATGTGTCCATGGATGTTGTATGCAGCAGGTGATGACATTCATGCATCTATTTTGTATATGTCCATGGATGTTGTATGCAGCAGGTGATGACATTCATGCATCTATTTTGTATATGTCCATGGATGTTGTATGCAGCAGGTGATGACATTCATGCATCTATTTTGTATATGTCCATGGATCTTGTATGCAGCAGGTGATGACATTCATGCATCTATTTTGTATGTGTGCATGCATTGTGTATGTAGCAGGTGCATGCCTGCTATAGTGTACAAGATGTCAGAGAACAGCTTGTGGGAATTGGTTCTCTTCTACCACATAGGTCCTAGGGACTGAATCACATCATCAGGCTTGGTGACATGTACTTTCACCTACTGAGGCATCGTGCCAGCCCCTCTTTACTCTTTTAATTTCGGTGCTAATCTCCCATCCTGTCCACGACAGGTGCTCAGAATGGACTCGAAGGTATTTATCCATGGGGGATTCACTTTTTACAAACTCTATTCTTACTTTATGTGCATGAGTATTTTGCCTGCGTGCATGTCTGTGTAGGACATGCATGCCTGATGTCCATGGAGGCTAGAAGAGGGCACTGGATTCCCTGAAACTGGAGTTACTAATGATCATGAGCTGCAGTGTGGGTGCTGGGACTCAAACATAGGTCCCCTGGAAGAGCAGCCAGTGCTCTTAACTGCAGAGCCATCTCTCTAGCTCCAAGGTTCACTTTTAAGACATTTAATCTTAACAGTTCATTTCCCATCATGCAAGTTCAAGTTTCTAAGTAGTCTGGTACTTGGATCATCTCAGTAACTTTGTGACCAGAGCCAAAGCACTTACTCCCTTTGGGCCTCCATCTTCTCATCTGCAAAATGGGGTCACTGGATAGAATGGTCTCCCAGGCCCTTCATGTTTTAAAGTCCAGGCAAGGCACAAACCGTTTCAGCAAAACCCTTGACCATCCCTCTTCACCAGAACCAGTTTCTCAGGTATAGCGTGGTATCCCTCACACATGAGCCCTCCTTCCTCCTTCTCAAAAGCAACTCTGTCTTCACAGCGGAAAACAGACAGAAGCTGCGGGATGATGAGCTGCGGAGAGAATATTATGAGGAACAAAGGAATGAGTTTGAGAACTTCGTGGAGGAACAACGAGATGGTAAGCACTCCCAGCAGCATCCTTGGGGGAGGAGAGTGGAATGAGGGAATCCCAGGCTTGTCTCCCCGATGCTGACTGGAGGAAGGAGGTGTGGATGGGGGAATCCATTTTCAACTCCTATTGATGGTAGGTGTGAAGAGAACAAGCCACAGAAAAGGCTATGCAGACTTCAGAAGTTGTGGAAGAGGGTAAAGGACATAGGGACTGGGGACACACTGGCCTCGGGGGACAGAAGAGATGAGGGAGTTATTGGCTGGTTATTTGGGAGTATAACTCCCCCATCTCTGTTTTGGAGTCACTGTGGATCTAAGTATTCCAAAGGTGACTTGCTGCCACAGAGCTTTCAGGTGAATGTCAAAGTCACGATCATGAGTTCCTTAGACATTAATGTACCAATTCCAGGTGCTGCTTAATCTGGGAAAATGAGGACCACTTACCTATTCATTACAACCCGTGTTCTCTTCCTTTGTGCATTTTCATGTGTGTTCCCAAGTACACACATGAAAGATCTGTGGTCAGGGTCAGGAATCCTCAATCACTCTTCCATCTTTCTTTCTTAAGGATTTATTTATTTTATGTATGTGAATACATTATAGCTGTCTTCAGACACACCAGAAGAGGGCATCAGATTCCATTAAGGATGGTTGTGAGCTACGGTGTGGGTGCTGGGAATCGAACTCAGGAACTCTGGAAGAGCAGTCAGTGCTCTTAATCACTGAGCCATCTCTCCAGCCCTCACCCTTCTATTCTATTCACAGAGGCAAGGCTTCTCAATCAAATCTAGAGCTGGCCACTATGGCTAGTCTCACTAACCAGCTTGCTTTGGCAATCCTGTCTCCACCTCCTGAGGCTGAGAGCACCATGCCCACCCAGGATTTTATATGGATTTTGGAGCTCACACTTGTGTTTGGCAAGCTCATTATCTGCTGTGCCATCTTGCTGTTCCCATAACAACACTTTGATCGAGAGAGCTGATATTGCAAAAGCACTCGTTCCTTTCACCTGCCTTTTACCTGACTTCTAATATCTCAGTTCCACTGTGGCCTCTCAATCACCCAATAGCAATGTGGAGTTTTTCTACATGGTTTTCTGTGTCTCTTCTCATCTGTTGGAGGTGCCCATTTAAACTAATGCCTCTGTTCTGTCAATAGAGTAGAAAAGTTACAGACAGCTTAGAGTCTCTGATGAGGCAAGAGGCGTATTTCATTCCTCCTAGCTGCCCTCGGGACACGAGCCAGGCCTCAGTAGAGGTGTGGGTGGAGACAGTTCAGGGAAGTTCTGTCTGAACCAAGACTGGCGAGAGGTCTCAAGTGTCACCCACAACAAACAGCCATAGGGATGCTTGATGGAAAGAGAGAGAGAAAAAGGGAGGAGCCGTGGAAGAAAGGGTTGATGGGGAGAATGAGGGTATGAACATTTCTCTTTTGGTCCTTTCCACTTTCAAACCTGACATTTTCTTACACAGTCTTTTGGAAGCTCCTGGTGCATGGCTTGGATACAACACTTTCATGCAAGTTCTGATACAGGAACCGGTTCTTAGTTCTGACTCATGGGCAATGATGGGTATGGAGGTTGTTCATCTAAGGGCATAGTGCAAAGGCTACTGCTCTGGGGACTGAGGACTGAAGGCTGTGTCCATTGCCCGGCAGGGGTCACCTAGCTAAATGATGCAAGCAGATGTTGGGCTCCCATCCTGGGGAAGTCAGAAGTCAGACTTTCTTGAGAACATAGTGTAAAGAGCTCAGACTGTCACCTCAGGAGCAAGTGCTTCTGTTGTCAGAGATCTGTTGACCTTGGCCGGCAGCTGAGGGGAGCAGCTGAGAGCAGTCTTGTTTTTTAAAACCTGAGGATTTGGAATCCAAATTTCCTTCGGTGTGATTTTTACTCACACTGTTCCTAATAACACTGGACTTGGTGCCATCTCAAACGTTTCAGGCCTTTGCCAGGCCTAGTGGTGCTGGCTCATAATCCCAGCACTTACTTGGTGCACTGAAGCAGGGAGAATCTCAGGTTTGAAGCCAGCCTGGGTCACATAGTGAAACTGAGTAAAAAACAAAAACAAAAACAAACAAACAAAAAAAATCACCAAACAACCCAAATAACAAGCAAAATGTATCATTTTCAAATTTGTAGCATATGGGTGGAAAAAACGGTTTTCTCTTTCACGATGAGTTGGGATGTGGGGTTACCACCCAAAGGATACCAAGACCATGGTCCTTGAGCTCCACCCATACAGAGAAGCACATCAGGGCAGAAGTTGTTGGGGCCTGTCATTATAACAGCTGTTGGCCCTGAGCATTTGTACAGAAACTGTCTAATTCTTGCCACATTCCTCTGAAGACAGGCCTTCAGATCATTCCCACTTTACAGACTAAAAGAATGAGGCTTAAAAAGGAAACACAATCCATACATTGATGTGCTAGAGGAGATGGCCTAGGATGGGTGCTCAGTGTTTGCCAGCAAGGCTGCTGCTCACCTCCATCACAGACGACCACATTGATGGAGGCCTTCAGGGATCTTCCCACTGGTCCACAAGGATGATGGAATGAGCAGGGTGAAAGAGAGTAAGCCTAGCTCACCACAGAATTAATTTTTGAAAAAAGTTGAACCCTTTACCCCAACCTCCTGCCTCTCTGCCCTAGAATGACTGTCACAGGGGTCCAGCTGCCTGGACTGTTACCTCGAACACACATGCAACTTTTGCTGACCCCCCCCCCCACACACACACCTGCCAGTCTGCCTCCAGTTAGCCGTTTTATGTTAAGCCACTGAAAGTTCCAGCTCTCCCAGGGAGCTGCTGCATAAAAGGGATGCCTAATCTGCTCCTAGGTCAAAGTCAGACCCAGAAGAGGAAGGAGTTGCTTCACTGAACTTGAGAAGTGTCTGAAAGGCTAAGACCCCCACCAGGGCTGGGCTCTGTGTGTATGTGGTTGTTTCTGGTACAAAACACAGAAGGGTATTTTCAGCACTGGGGGAGCATCTACTGTACGCTCACACAGAAACCAAACATCTTCAGTAGCCATGGTGTCTGACTCCACCATGGTGTCTGACTGGCTTCATCTGTCCCTTTTCCAGCTAGTTTTGACAACACAGATCTGTGCTTGAAACTTAGAAAATATAGACCATGGCAGGAACATTGGGACACATCTGTAATGCCAGCATTCAGGAAGTTGAGGCATGGGGGTCAGGAGTTCGAGGTCAGCCTGAGCTGCGTAATAAGACTTTATCTCAACAAAGCAAAACAAGAAGATAACTTATCGAGAGAAAGTACCCATGATACACCGCTCCATGCTGACAATAACCTCCATGCTTTGCTTTACATTATTTTATATTACTTATTTGTGTGTGTGTGTGTGTGCGAGCTCACGCAGTGCACACACACATGCATGTAGAGAGAACACTTTGTAGGAGTTGGTTCTCTTCTTTTGTGTGGGTTTTAGGGACTCAGACTGCTAGGTTTACTATCAAGTACTACTCCCAGATGAACTATCTCACTGGCCCATGAATAGTTCAAGGTGTGGCTTGTATTTCCATGTGACCCTCTTACTGTTCCTTGTTACTTTGCTGTCTAGTCATTTGCTTAAGCCAGATGACAGCTTAAGACTCTTTCTCTCATTGCTGGAAAGGAGGCAGGCAGCTCAGGTGCCAGGTGTTGGCTTTAGTTTCAATTCTGCTTGGAACCACCCATGACCTACTCTGGTCTGCTCCACAACAGAAACCTTTGTACAAATGCTCATCGGGCCCTCCCAGCTCCAACCTTGGGAAGTCTCGGGGGAGCACAGGCACACTTAGCTCAGTGCCCCTTCAGCAGGTGCTGGGGGCTGATTAACAACTCCTGTTGGGTTGGGTGTCTTCTGGGTGTACAGTGGTCTTTTATCTTCCCCTCTCAGAGCAGGAAGAGAGGACCAGGGAGGCAGTGGAGCAGTGGCGTCAGTGGCATTATGATGGTCTGTATCCTTCCTACCTCTACAACCGCCAAAACATCTGACCTCATCCGGAAGCCACTGGGGAAGAGAAGCATGAGACACGTCTCCCACCGCTCCACAGACGGACCCACCTCGCAGCCCTGGCCGACAGCTCCAGGAAACACACCCTTTGTTCTGATGCATTACAAATGCCTGGCTTTTGCTTCTTTATGGATGTTTGTTTTGTTTTTGAATGAGCAACCGCCTGTGGTTCTTCCCAGCATCAAATCTACACCCTGACTCCTTGCTTAGCTACCAGAAACAGAATTAGAATGCCTGTCTGATAGGACACTTTAAGGATCGAAGCGTAAAGATTTTAAGCTTGCTTATGGCCTATTAATAAAAGTGCTGAATCAACCTTGTGTATCATTGCCACAAAACTCCAAGGGAGCTGCTGTGCGCCCAAGTGTCATGCTAAGCACATGCTCTACCACTGAGCTACACCCCAGCCCTAACTTTAAATATGGAAACACTGTGGACAGGCAGACTGGAGAGACCACCCCCTCAAGCGCCTGGTGCTCTGTCTTTAAAACAGAGCTTTTTGTTTTGGGAGAAGCAACCTTGGAACACAAATGCCATCACAACAAAAGCCAAACCCATCTCCAGGTCCCATAGCTACTTTTGTAGCTCCATGGGTACATAGTCTTCTCTTCTCCCATTTCTCCTTTCCTGTGGGCCTCTTTACTGGAAGCTTCTTTACAAAGGACATGGTGAAGGTTGGTCCAATTTCTGCAACAGGTATTTAGAGAATTTTCTGTGCTTTCGAGTTTTTCTTCCTTAACTGTTTTATATTGAAACCACTAGTGCTTTTTGGGGTGATTTGGGGTGTGCTACCCTCACATGCCATGGAATAATCTAGTGTCACTGTTCCCATTCCTTCTTCAGTGAGGTGGTGACGTGTGTGCCCTAACTTCTACACTTTCAACCCGGAGACATCAGTGATTTGAAAACATTTACAGGGCAAGTCTCAAGGAAAGATGGCCTTGAGATATACACTATTACTGATGTTACCTCACTGTCACCCAGACCTCACCAGGTCGGTAACCAGTGCACCCCGGCCTGTACAACTTGCATATTCCTACTCCATTGCTTCTGGGTGAGGCCCAACAGAAAAGCTGTTTGGGAGCCCATCTGTCATAAAGTGAATCTGGTCTATCAGCCCGAGCCCACTGGCATTCGATTTTGATTTTGTGCTACTGGAAGGTGGGCCTGGAAGGAGGTGCTCTGGGACAAACGCCTCAAGGGGGCTGTGTACCTTACCGTCTTTCCTCTCTCTCTTGTTGATGACCATGAAACGAGTGTCATACATTCCTGTCACAATGATAGGCCTCATGCAAAGCCCCCTTCCCTTGTGTGGTCCAGTTCATCTCTAGATTATGTAAATGTAATATAACATATGTGGTATATATTACTCTCAAATGACTGAGAACAATTACAAAAATGTCTGTAGTCAGTGCAAATGTGATCTGTCTGAAATGTTTTTAATCTGTGGTTGTTGAGCTGGTGAATGCAAAACCCACACATACCTGAACTACACGCCCAGCTGGGCAACAGAAGAAAGACGAGAAACATGGCTCTCTCTACTTTCTGGGGAGGTAAGGGTCCTAATCTGGGTGATCCTGTCCATGTGGCCCACTTTCATTCACACCTGCTGGTTGGCATCTCCTCCCACAGGCTAGTACACGGGTAGATGGTCATGGCTGGTTGCATTCTGAGCCACATCCCACACATCCCCTGCCTGTATGTGTCTGAGGGAAGGAATGCTCACACCAAGCAGATGGCCAAAGGCAAGGGAGGTTTGGGAGAACAGCCAGTTTAAAAATGAAGGAAACAAACCCTGAACAGACTGCCCTTGCCTCTTCAACAGCTGCACTTGGCATTCTGGCTCTAGATAAAGAGTTCTGGCCTCGAGGGGCTGGGTAGGAATCCTTTCACCTCATTCACCCCTGTCCTTAACAAGGGGCCCATTATACTTAGCTTTTTCAAGTTCAGCCTAGGATTCCTTTACTAAAAGCCAAGCACTGTCATTCTTAGTGAGAACGACGCCAAAGGTAACAAAACCAGGAATCTCAGTGACCAAATTTCATAGGGGAGCAGCAATAGATCAATCTGTACTTGAGGCTGGCCTTGTCAAGTGCGGCTTCAAGGGTTGCTTTGACTCTTCTGTTCTTTTGTCACTATGCCCTCATTCTGAAGAGGTTGAGAACAAATGTGTCAAAAATTCCTTAGTAATTTCTATTCCTTAGTCTCACATGTTTTATTTGCAAATACAGGGAGGTGGGGTTCAACTGGGAGGTAGACTGGTAAAGCACTTGCTTACCAAGTTCAAGGTCCTGGGCTCAATTCCCAGCACCACCCAACTAAGGCAGTGACTAAGGAAGCTGTGTGCTCCCAGGGCAATTTTATTTACTCTGACTTTCTGAGAAGACGCTGGTGATTTTCCTAAGCCCCACAATGAGTCGTCTTGTGTTTTCTGTACACTTCTCCTGTGCTTCCCTGTCTGGTTGGGTCATTTAATTTCTAGTTCATTTTCTTTCTTTTTTTTTTTTTTTTCTAGTTCATTTTCAAACAGTAGTGTTCTAATACTTTGGTAAGATCATCATAATTTGGGTTGGTGAGATGGTCAAAGAGTAAAATTGCCTGGTGCCAAGCCTGATATGTAGGGGAGTTTGATCCCCAAGATGCACATGGTAGAAGCAGAGAACCAACTACTTCCAAGTTGTCCTCTGACCTCAGGGGCACATTAGCTATATCTATTTATTCTGTAACTGTTAAAAAAAATGTTTTGTGTTTACATCATATATATATATATATATATATATATATATATATATATATATATATATCATTCAAAATAAAATATATGGCTAGTGCAGACTGTCTTTAGACCAGCGGTTCTCAACCTCTGGGTTGTGACTCCATTGGGGACAAAGATACTCTGCCTATCAGTATTTACATTACGATCCATAACAGTGGCAGAATTACAATTATAAAATAGCAGCGAAAACAAATTTATGGCTGGGAGGAAGGGTCACCCAACGTGAGAATATGAGTTCCAGCATTAGGGAAGCTGAGAACCACTGCTGTGGACTACACACAGCAATCTTCTGAGCCCTTCAGGGTTAAAGCAAGCATTTGTATTCAGAATACAGAAAGGTTTTTCGTAACTCATCCTAATGGTACAAACATTTGGCTGGTCAACAGTACGACCACAGTGAGATGTCGCTATACACTGATCTGAATAGCTGAGCTTAGAAAGGACTGACAAGGGGCTGGGGAGATCCCCAACAGTTAAGATGCTTGATGCTCTTCTGTGTGAGCGAGGTTCCCAGTACCCACATAGGGCAGCTCATCACAGCCTGGTGAGTAACTCCAGCTCCTGGGGACCCAATGCCCTCTTCTGGCCTCTGTGGCTACTTGATGTCTCTGTCTGTCTCTCTCTCTTACACACACACACACACACACACACACACACACACACACACACACAGATTAAAAAAGACTGACAATATCAGGTGTTGGTGAAGCCTTGGAGCAAATGATAGAATTCTCATACATTTACTAGATGGTGTGTAAGAGGGCACAACCACTTTAGAATAAAGCTGGCAACTTCTTATAAAGCTAACACACATCTAATTTATGATACAACCTAGATATTCCATTTCTAGATACTTTTTTAACTTAAAAGACCCAAAGATATACGTATAGAAATACTTGTAAATGGATATTCATGGCAGCTTTAGTCGAAGCCCCAAAGCTGAAAAGATCCAACCAGAATGTCCATTAATGGGTGATTCAATAAACCCATTAAATGACAAGCACACCCATTCAATAGCATACTTAGTAATATTATGGGCACATGTCCATGGATGAATCTCACAATACCATGCAGGTGAAAGATGCCGGACATCGACGTGTGTTCTGTGTGATGCCATTGACAAGTACAAAGTGATAGGAAATGGATTATTTTTACTTTTGTCCTAATAGGGGCAGGGTCAAGGTTGGGCTTTTACTGGAAACTGGCTTTAGGCTAATGTCATAGTGATTACAATTTTAAATTTTTAAATTGGTTTTCCTACAAATTGCTTCTAACTTTAGCCAACTGACCTTTCAGTCCTTTTTCAAATATTAGCAAATGTAGAATACTGAATGCTCAAATCTTTGAACTCTCCACATTTCTGGTGTATCCAAGCCCTGCCACAGGGGAGTAACGCTGACTTTCATGGCAGAGTATACATTTTGATGGCCATTAGTACACACTAAAGCAAATGGATTTGTGCTCCTGGTTTTTAAAAAGATTTTACTTATTTTATGTGCAGGAGTGTTTTGCCTGCATGTAAGTGCATTATATAGGCCAGAAAGTGTGTGTGTGTGTGTGTGTGTGAGAGAGAGAGAGAGAGAGAGAGAGAGAGAGAGAGAGAGAGACACTCCTTGGAACTGGAGTTACAGCCGCTTGCTAGTTACCATGTAGATGCTGGGAAGAGCATGGACTGTTCTGAACTGCTGAGCCATTGCCCTGGCTCTTTTGTGCCCATTCTAATAAATAAATGCCTTTGGACATTATTTAACCAGCCCTCCTTTACTTTGCTAAATCCCAGCCACTCTGAGGCTTCTAGTGTTTTAGCTTCTGTTGGGGACAATTTACCAGACATTCAGAAGTTCCCTATTTTCTATTCTGAAAGATTGTTATCTAAGACGGGCGGTGGTGGCGGCGCACGCCTTTAATCCCAGCACTTGGGAGGCAGAGGCAGGCGGATTTCTGAGTTCGAGGCCAGCCTGGTCTATAGAGTGAGTTCCAGGACAGCCAGGGCTACACAGAGAAACCCTGTCTCGAAAAAACCAAAAAAAAAAAAAGAAAAAAAAAAAGAAAAAAGACTGTTATCCTTTTTCTTGCTTGGAAATAGGATTTTGTTTTTTTTTGTTATTTTTTTCTAAATAGGGGAAAAAAAAACTCACATGAAAAAACCTAAAACAAGCAAAATATCCTGAAGACAGATTCAGATCAGCCAGTTTCTCCGAATTG